CAAGAACGTAGCACTCCAAATCTTCCACCTAGAATTAGCTAAGTAACTAGTTCTTTACTTTGGATAAAGCCCCTACATCATTCCCAATGAGTAGAATGCCGTCTATGTAAAAACCCTAAAAAACAAATCACCTTATCTTCTTCTATATGTTTGTAGATACACAATTCACCCAAATTTTATTCGAAACCATAAATTTAACGGCTTAGTTAAATCTGATGTTCATGATCTAGAAGCTTGCTTTAGTTCACAAATGCATTTGGGCAATTTGCAGACTTTCTACCCTTGACCTTTTTCTACAAAACATTCTGGTTGGACCATTGAATGGTTTTCTCAAGATGATCATTCAAAAATGTTATCTTAGTTGGAGAAATTACATCGATATTGTGCATATTATATTCACAAAAATCACGTCAAATAATAAAGCATATACTCACCTTATTCTCCATATTCACATTTGAAAGAATAAATCAACCATAGATTGACAAGTTGTTCTTTCAAAAACACAACCTTACAAAAGGACATACATCTTGAAACTATTCCTTATAACATAGGTTTTATCCTTTACAAATGAATATCATTTTACAATCATTATTTTTAAAAAATTTTGACACCACCGCTAACTATAGACACCATTTGTACTCTATAAATATTTTCATATCCCAATAATTAGGCAAGCAATTTCCACTTTAAAATAAGTAGGACAAAACCACATTTTGTCACTCTTATGCAATTATAATTTTGCACAAGTCACCTCGTTTAATTTCATAAAATTAATTCAGGCTATCATCATTAATCAAGGTTTGTATAATTTTCAAACCAAAATCCATGAACATATATCGGATTGACGTATACCATATATGCAACTTACCGTATATGCGACTTACCATATATGTCGCTTACCGTATATGCGACTTACCGTATATGTCGCTTACCGTATATGCAACCCATCGTATTTGTAGCCTATCGTATTTATTGCTTACCGTATTTGCAACTTATTGCATATGTATATACCGAATTTGCATATATTAACCAAAAATTTATTCGAAATCCAAACTCTTGTATGAATTTATAAAATGAATTCACTATTTGGAATTCAGATTTATACAAATGAGATTAAAATGTCACATTCCATATCCGCTTTTGTATTTTATTCCAATGAAAAATTAATCAAAAGCCACCACAAACTGTTTTTCATTCATTTAAAATGAAAAGTTACACATATTCCATAATTTCAATATTAATGGTCAGAATTTAATCTCCAATATGAATTGCATTAAACATATTTTTAATAAATCTTTATATCACATAAAATAAATTGGAGTCCTTGTCACTTCCAAATTAATTCATAGACATTCATTTCCAATTTTCAGTTATGGAAATTCGTGTATAATTTCATGGCAGTTACAACATGATTAAAATCAAATTAACGATCAGCACGCACCAGTTCATGTATATGAAAGGCGTGCATTGTAATTAACTTTTAGTGGGAACTCGTTTATTGCCTACATAGCAAACAAAATTGGTTTTTATGATTCTTTGTTCATAGTCACCATTTTTTACCATTCAACCATGGCAACAATTGGAAAAGATACACATTGGAGCATAAGAGTGATTTTCAAACACATGCATTTTCTACCACATGCCATTTCGTAATAACCACATGAATACAGCAATTTAATTCTTCCAAATTAAAATTAAAGTCGTGCACAATGAATACAAAATGCACAATAGTACCAAATTCTTACATAGAAAAACAATTCTAGATGCTTTAAAGAACCTTACCAGCCAAATATATCCCTTTTGCCACCAAGTTTAAATTGCATTTAAAATTTAAGTGTCACCATTAAATTCATATAAAGCATAACTGCAAGAATTCCAAAAGGGTCACATCATTAATATACGTGCACTTATGGACAGAGTATTTAATTTTGTACAAAAACTCCTCAGGCACAAATACTTGGTAAAAGAAACTGCAATTTTCAAATGGTATATTGCTTTGTGGAAAATGGAATATAAAATAATAGTCTTGGACATAATCCAATTTGAACATGTTCTCTCAATCAAACAATGCGTTGGTAGATTCTAAAGAAAATAGAAAATGCAAAAAAGGCATCGAAATTCATCTTAAGATTGTTAGAGAAATTACACCGATATTGTGAATATTATATTTACAAAAATCATGTCGTCTATTTGTGTGAAATCAAAATGTAATTTCGACTTAACGGAATAGATTTGAGAAGATAAATCAATAATTTACCGAGTCTGAATGTATGAATATGGATTCATCCATTTTCTACTTTTAAATGAAAGCAGATCGAACCTTACAAAATAAACATGTAAACAAGGTTAATGAATTTTTGAAATCAAAGTGTAATCAAAAGAATCAGAAAATGAAGTGAGAAAATGCAAGTGATGAATTTTTGACCGTGACAAGTGTTGGACACTTTGTTCTTAAGATAAATTTGCCCTACAACGGTGCTAATGATTTTTCGGTAATCATCTCTCAAGATACAATGATCATGTTGAGCCATAGCAGCACTCCAAATGACTTCGACTAACGAACTTGAACGGAATTCCCTTTTTACCATAACCATGATTTTGATGCAAAATAAAATCACTTCTATAAAGTGTTTTATGCAACATGACATGAAAAAATAATTTATATGATTATCAAAATAGACATCCAAATGGTCCTATAAGTAGGAGTTGAAAGGTGGTAGGTGAAGGGACATACCCCAAATTTTAATTTTCTTCAAATAGGACTGAATTTCTCATTCATATGCTAATTGGTCCTCAACCAATTTTCAACAATCTTGACATCCATTTTTCCATATCTCATAGTCAAAATGAACAGCAATGGTAAGAGAATTTGAATAGATTTCAACATGGCCACTGGGAAAAAAGTGTCCTCATTGTCTACTCATTTTCTTTAGGTAAACCCTTTGCCACAAGCTTTGTCTTGAACGTTTTTACTTTCCCATCGACTCTTCTCTTTTTTCTTGTAGATCCATTTAAAACCAACAAGATTTACACCTTCTACTAAATCTACAAGTTTCTAGACTGAATTGGAGTACAAAGATTCCATTTCTAGTTTTATGGCTTCCAATCAATTATCACAATCAGTGCCATCCGTCGCCATCTTGTATGTCAACGGATCATTATCATTATTTTTAGTGATTATAACATTTGCTTTACCTTCTTCAAAATGGTAGGTAGGAAATCTTATTTTCCTCACACTGTGTCATAATAGTGGTAGTGTTCGATCACGATCGGCGGTTTCTTCTCTTTATCGTTCAACAACTATCATCAGTCAGCAACTCTTCCAGAACTACTTTGCCTCTGGGTTTGAAATCTATCATAGGATTATGCTTGAGAAATGTAGCATTTGTCGATGCAAACATTTTTTTATTTTGAGTACTATAAAACAATCCTCATCTTGTTTATTTAGGGTAGCCCACTAAAATGTACACTTTCTAATGAGGGATCCATCTTCCCAGTTGTCTCAAACTATGTTTACGATCAATCCACATTCTAAGAGAGTCTACGGGATTGAGTTTGATGGAATTAAGTTTAGAATGTATACTGTCTTTTACAGCACATATCTCCAAAATGAGGTGTGTAAAGAAGAATAACTTAACATTGATCTCATCATGTCAAGTAAAGTACAATTTCTTCCTTTAGCTACACCATTTTATCTAATGTTCTTTGAGTAGTGAGCTATGATATTATTCCATTTTCAATCATGTGATCATTGAATTCATAATCCAAATATTCTCTTCCTCGATCAGATCTAAAGGTTTTGATTGGTTTATTGAGTTGCATTTTTGCTTTAGCACGGAATCATTTGAACTTTTCAAACATTTTGAATTTTTCTTTACATCAAGTATGTATATCTTTATCTAGAATAATCATCAATGAATGTGAAAAAGTATTCATAATTAACCTTTTTCTTGCTTTGACGTTCAAAGGCCCACATACATTTGCACATATGAGATGTAGAGGTTCTTTTGTTCTATCACCTTTTGCTCAAAAGGTCTTTTGATCATATTGCCCTCAAGGTAGGATTCACAAACAGATAGAGTGCTAACTATTAGTTCTCTTAAAGGACCATCATTTGTTAGTCTTTTTATACTTTCAATGTTTGTTTGACCGAGTCTTAAATGCCACATGCATGTGTCATCTTTATCATAAATCTTTCTTCTTTTGGGGTTGGTTCAATGACTTTAAATATTTCAGTTTGTAATAAGCTGTAAGACAATGGTATAACAAAATAAAAACCATTATCAACATAACCAGAACATTTCAGGATACTGTTCCTAAAAATTGAAACTATTTCAAGAAATTAAAGAAATAAAAATAGATCATTCATGAAATTTCAAACCAAAAATAAAATTTCTTTTAAAACCCAAAAATTAATAAACATTGCTAACACTACTAGAAAGTGAGGCAATAGAGACGAAAATTTGGTGACGAACATCTTCTGTAGCTAATACAAACGGATTAACAACAAATTAGCAATGGATTATTATTTTACTATTTTAAAAATTATATATTAAATTGTCGACAGAATTACAAATGGAAGTCTTCTGTTGGTACAATTTCGTTCCTAATCCGTTGATGAATAATTATATAATAATAAATTAAATAATTTACCAATGGATTTTTTAACGGATGATTCTGTTGTAAACTATAAACTGAATTAAATAATTACCAATAAAAAATATATATTAAATTACCGACGAGTTATCAAAGGAAGTTTTTTTTTTTATTATTATTTTTTTTAACAAATTTGACGTTTTGACAAGACGAGTGATAGTACAAATAATTTTCTACTTTTTTATAGTAAATTATATTATCAATTAGTTAAATATGTACATTTATTAATAATTTAATCAATAATAATTAATAAAAATTAATTATATTTCTCCTTCTTAAAATTTCAATCACCTCTTAAAATTTCTCTACGATCCAAATTGTCATTTTCCCTCCTCTCAAACATTTTCCCACTTTATACACCACAAACTGAACCCTAACCTCACAAGTGCGGCCCCGCCATCCACCCTCCGTCTCTCTCACTGAAACTCATCCATTCTCTTTCTTTGCCCTGATGAAGGAAAAAATTCCTCACTTATTCATACCCATGTTTTTGAACTATGGCCATCGATAGCTTGGAGGCCTCAAATGCTATATTTCAGGCATTGTGGATTTAATGCTTGCTGCTATTCTGGTCTCTGATGTTTTTGGTAGGTATTTTCTAAAATATTTGATTTTTGGGTGTTGTAAAGTTTCAATCTTGTGTTGATTTACTGTTACTGCTGTAGAGTTTTCATTTTATTTTTAATTTTTTCACAGAATACAGGTGGTAAAAATTATTTATATTCATGAATGTGTGTGTCAATTCTAGGTTCCTTTTGGTAGAGTTTCATTTGGACAAGTTAGGTTTGTGTATAATAAAGTGGTTTATATCACAACAAGATTTCATTTTTGTTGCATATTGTAATGGGGTTTTTCTTATTTAAGCGTTGGTTGTTTGCAGGCTAAATGAAAAAGGATACCCTCGTAATTATAATTTCACTGCCTTTTAGGAAAGGTTTTGTTTATTTTCATTATTATAGGATTTTGGTGTTGCAAAGTTTGTATCTTATTGCTTAATATGGTATTGATGATTTCTAAGACATCTTAGCTTCTATTCATATTCTGTTTTTCTTTGGCTTGGAAGTTAATTAACATTTTTTTGTAGATGCCAAGCTAGTTGCTTTCAAGCTACTCATCTTGCACATGCGGCTCGAGTATTGACATGCCTCTAGCAGAAAGGTTTTTCTTGTTTAAATTCATTTCACACTTTTTTTTCCATTTATTTATCTTCCTTTAACTAAAGGAACCGATAGAAGGTGATCCAGGTATTTGAGAACTGAAGCGAGGATGATGATCAATATGACGTGAAGCAAGTTAATTTCTATATTTTATTTATTACGAGAGCAAAAACAATTCTCTCTTTTTGTGTTCAAATTAAAGAAGCCTCCCTTCTATTCGAGAGCTAAATATAGTCCTAGAAAGTTTGATTATGTTTGTTGAAAAGATAGATCTCATTCTCTTCACTATAAGGGAAGCAGTACTTAATTAGAATATAATTGTCACATAGTCTTTTGGCTAATTTTCAGAAACTAAAAGGGGATATAGGTTCGTTGTAAGAGGTGGAAGTGGATATACTTGCATCCCATGTATATCATGTCAACCTGCTGTACACTAATATATCCTTGTTTATAGAAATAAATATTTATTATTATTTTTACATTCTTATTTTTCTCATTTGGTTTGATCTATGCAGGATATGAAGCTCCTAACTTGAGGTACTTAATCTTTATTTTTCCCCCTAGATTAGGATAAGATTCTACTCATTGTACTTGTTATTATAGAACTTATTGATTTTGCAGATGTTTCTTCCCTGTTCTTGGCATATGTTTGATATCCTTGTGTACCTAACTTGCTAGATTCCTACATACCCATGTCAAATTAATGTAAAGCTATATAATGTTGAGATTCTAACTTGCTAGTTTCTTGAGTAGGGATTTGATAGTGGTTGTAGAATCTTTAATGGAATCAGAGGCGGATTTAATAGTCTTGGTTTTGTTCTTGGCAGAATCAGAAGGAAGTTTAATAAGGTTGGTTTGGTTCTTGAATGAACCAATATTGGATTTATCGAGCTTGGTTTGGTTCTTGGATAACCTTGCACTGGATTAAAGAACCTTGGTTGTATTTTTTGAGTAAGTACGGTACAAGTAGTTTTCTTCTTAATAACCGGCACATCTTTTTTTACCTATAACATTGATCTTCTACCAAAACTTTTTGGTCTGTTTGCAGAGCTGAATTTAAGTGAAGAAAACCAAGAGACGAAGCAAAAACAATGCCTCTTTCAGACTGAAATCTAGGAGTGGAGCCATATGTCGAAAATGTATTGAAATATATGTTTGTTTTTCTCTGGAGATCTCTTATGAGGCTTTTCCAAGAATTATAGCCTTAGTTGGATCTAGATTTTAGGAAGTGTGTGGGTGTGTATAAAAAGTTATTGTGAAGTATAGGAAATAAGGAAAAGACCTTTAATGCAAAGCACACAAATTAGATCACTCACATGGAGCCAGACATATAGTATTCTATTTCTCTATGTAGTTTCACTTCTCCCTCTCCCTCTCTCCCTTTCATTTCACTATGTCATATATATATATTTAAATTCATATCAATGATGGAAATAACAAGGGAAGTTTGTTGCTAATCGCCTACAAAATTAATTCGTAAATAATTGCGATGAAAAATTTGTTTCTAAAGTTGTTGCTAATTAGCGATGGAAATAGTCGTTGGTAAATACTGACAATGATTTTCATGGCTAATTTATCAACGACCAAAGAAATTTGCCGCTAAATTAGCGGCGAGGGTTTCACTATCCAATTTTGCGATGAACCAATTCTGTCGGTGAAATTTTGTAGCTATGGAATTCAAGGCAGCAGTGATGGAATTTTCTGTCTCTGAAGCCTAATTTTTTTGTAGTGTAATAACAAAAATTTATTCTTCGGAACAGGATAGTCTAGCTTTCCCTACAACCATCATATCAACTTTGGCATCATTCCCGACTCTCAACTAGAAAATTCCCTCTTCAAGATCCCTGGACAATTCCAGCATCTACAAAAATGTACAAACATGGTTAGATGTCCCTGAATCAGCTATCCAGATCAAGAATTTTTCTTAACTAAGCATGTTTCCATGATTAGTAAATTTCATTTACCTTATTCTATTTTAGGCTATCGAGGTATTTCTTACAGTTCATCTTCCAATGACATCCTTGTTGCAATGGAAACACTTTTCTTTGGCCTTGTCCAGAGCTTTGTTTGCATTTCTCTTTTGGATCTTCTTTTTGCTCTTTTGTGGTTCCACATTTCTCTTCTTCTTGTTCTTTGAAGAAGATGGCTTTCCTTGAGTCACGTTAGATTCGACGACATTTTCCTTATCACCCTTATCTTCTATTAGGGTCTTATAGGTCTACAGCTTGTTTAGAAGCTCTGTTAGATTGCACTTCTGATTTGAAAGTAGCTTTCTCAGATATGGAAAAATATTAGAGAGTGTCTCCAGAATCATGCCTACTAGGGTCTTGTCATCGATGGTCACACCATTGATCTCAGCCTCATTCAAATGATTGAACATTTTAAGGACATGCTCTCGAACTGATGAACCATTCTTCCTCTTATCGTTCTTAACGACTTTCACTACGACATGACGGGCTTGATCATAGATCGCTTGAACATTTTCTAGAGAGTCTATAATCTCTCTCGTAGTTTCAAAGGCCTCGTGTTTAGTTCTAAGCAACTCATTCATTGCATCTAGCAAGTAGAAGTAGGCTTTGTTGTTTGCTACGACCCAATGGTTGTATTCTTCAGCTACAAAATTTGAGGCGTTCGATGGAGGCAACGGAGCATCATCCTCCTTTAGGACAAAGTGTAGTCTCATTTATGAGGAGTATACTCATGTTGCTTTTCTATTTGACTAAATTTTTCTCTAGGCAAAATATCGGATGTGAGGAGATTAAAACTTGGGTTTTCTGAAAATGAGGAATTTAATTCAATAAATAACTTAGACATAAATTTCATACATCAATTAAGGCTAAACATGATAAATACACAAAACGTGTTTACTGAAAAGATTAAGGAATTTTAATCAACACAATTAAGTGCCGTCGTTGGGTTGGTCAAATGACTGTTAATTAAAATGAGATATTCTCAATTACTAAACATTTCCAAAAATATCTCATATTTCTAATGTGTATTATTTTTCTTTAATTTTGGGCAAGCATATAATGAACACTTTATTTATTAATTTATTTTTTATGGTGGGAGAACCCATAACCGCTATCATTCGGGTGCGCATTGAATAAACTTTCAATCTGACGCAATAGTCTACAAGCCACACCAGTTACGTAAATCGCACTAGGCAAGTTCATTGCAACAGACAACAGACTCGATCGAGAAAGTGTTGGTAGGGAAAATCGAACTTGTGATCAAAGGTCTCGGCGCTCACTTACTTCATCAATTTGGCCACTCCATGTGGGCTATAATTAGCACTTTAATTCCATCTTTAAGAATATAACCCACCGTTTTAGATTTTCATACTTAAATTGTTGCCGTAGGTTAAGTCAATCCTAAAATACATCTTACTAGTCCTATCTCGATTCTCAAGGAAGATAACCTTGGTATTGCGATTGGCAGACGCCCTCCATAAGAAGGATGAAATCAAAGCATCTCGAGCCGCCACAAAACATTCACGGTGTGGTTCAAAGGATGGAGGCCTACGGCCTATGCTGTCGTATTACTTTCTTTCATTCGTTACAAAATAAGGTGTATTTTAAAACATTCCATGTCAATATAATCTAAGTTGTATAGAATCAATTTCATCATTTCGACAGTCAATGTATAATTCACAAGAAAGACTCATCAAATCAGCCACTTAGGTAGAGAATTTAGGTCCCAATTAAATTGGAGGGATAACTACGGTCCCTCCTAAAATCCAATTTTTCTAGACAGAACTTCTCTATATCATGTCTAGTTTAGTTGATTGATCATTCCAAAATATGAATAACTGAGAATCTAATTCTTAATCATTTAAGTTTTATAAATTTTAAATCTAATTTGGAAATATTAGGTTTTCATAAAAGTAACTCTTAATTTTACAAGGCCCAATATATTAACTTAGGTCCATTTAACGAATTTAATCTTATGTGCATGAATAAATATATTACAAAAGAAATGAAGGGTCTTTATGTAATCCGTCTTCATGTAATTCATCTTTATGTAATCTCCATCTTGATATAAGCAACAAGTTGATTTCTCGAATCAAAATAATAAGAATTCTCCACTCTGTGGTAAAGCGCAAGGACGTCCCCAGCCTCTGCTCGCGGTCGTATAGACGTCGGCCACCGACCCTCAATATATATATATATATATATATATTTTACTGGAACCTTTTCCAAGAAATCACGACCAATCCCTTCACGAAATCATTCATCAATTGAATAAAAGAGTGGGCATGTCATAAAGGAAGAAATGAGAATTATACCCTGGAGTGTCTAGGATGTAAATATCGAACTCCTTAAAATCATCAGACTCCTAGAAGACCTACAAGTCTTTCTCAGTGTATCTCCTATCATAGTGATGAAAGAGTGGGCATTTCTTATTAGTATTTGATTCCCACGCTCACTTTATGGTTCATTTTATATTCTCAACACGAGACAAAGTGAAAAGAAAAGAAAGAACTTTTAGGGTTTGTTTGATTGCAAGAATAAAATTTGGGTGAAAAGAAAATGAATACCAGGAAAATGAATTGCATCGAACTTGTTTTACGGTTCACCTAAAAAATGTTGAAATTTTGGATCTTTTGGTGTTCGTTTGACTTTGTTTTTTATGAAAATTATCAATTAAATTGATATATATATATATAGATGCCACTTTACTAGGAGTGGGAGAGAAGATTTCTCTCCCATATCCCTTCTATCAGATAACTAGTTTTGAACAATTCAAAATTAATTTGAGATAATTAACTTTTAATTATTTATTATTTTCCACATGTAATTAAATTTAAATACTACATGGACACTCCATGTTTCAGCACATGATAATAGTGTGGTTATTACCGCATTGTATAGTTTCTAATTACTTTAATAATCACATTATTTAAACTACAATTAATCAATTAATTAATGTGAAAATCAGTTAGGATTCATAACTCTAAGTTAATTAATCTAACCCAAAAAAAAAAATGTTCATATAATTTTAATGGAGCTGATGAGAGGAACTGAGGACATTATAATTTTAAGCTTCAATAATAATAACAACAATTAATTAACACTTTAACTAATACGGCAAAATTATTAATTTCAAATTATTCCATTAAAAATTTGGAATTGTGCTCTTAAAATTATAAAACAAATTATATTCAAGTGATTTGAACTTTCCATCAATATAGTCATTTCATATTTGATCAATCATTTGTAAATGGTTCATAATTAAAGTTAGGTATTTATTCGTAGACATCTTTAAATATATCATTCTCCATAAGTCCCATTGGTCCTCTAATGAATAATACATTTTACGATCTATTCATAAAATTGATTTCTCTTATTATTCAAGTCCCAAATCAACACTTACAAAAATCGTCTATCTATTTTTTCACAAAGGAATGAACTTCTTCTTGTATATTAATATTTTTGGTTATTTATCTCATTGTATTTTCAACATACCAAGAATTTTACACTATTGATTTGTGCCATTACCCCGCACATAAAAAAACAACTCAATTAATACGAGTCTATCAATTACTGAGAATTAAGATCGATCCATATATGACCATCATTGATCACAATAGACGATTTGTGGATTCAGATAGCACTAATTGCGAACGAATTTTTAGAGTTAGGATATTATCGAAACTCTCAAAATATTAGTTTCAAACGGCCTATTTTAACATGTCATAACTTTTGCTATAATTGACCACTTCACATACCATTAATGAGTGAAAAACTAGGCCATGAGCACTTCGAAATGGTATTAAGAATGCAATATTTTGACTTCATTTGACATCCCGACAAGTGCATCAAAGTAGATTGCAAAAAAAAAAAAAAAAAGGTCAAATTTTGTGGGGTCATTTGACCCCACATGACCCCATGTGGGTCCGCCCGTGTGTGTTCTTGTCTTTTATAATCAATTTATATCGTAATGAACCGCACTAGTGACCATAATTAAAGATCCCTACTTTAATTTTAATTCACGAAAAAATTAAAGTTAAATATAAATAATCAAGTTATTTTTAATATTTCTAAAGTATCTAATCATGCATGCAAAAGATATGGAATTAATTTCTCAAATATCATTAAATGTCATCAAATGTTTATAAGAACATATCACAACAATCCCCCACTTACCCTAAAGTAAATGAGACATATCTCAAGTTCCATTCCCTTAAGGCGTTGCAGAAAACTGCAAGCTAGCAATATCTTGGTTAAATGATCACTTATATTGTTCATGGATGTGACCTTCTCTACTGAAACGTCTCATCTTTGTACAATTTCTCTCCCCAAGTGGAATTTCTTCTCTACATGCTTTCATTTTTGGCTGTTCCTTAGTTCTTTTGCATTGGCTTCTAATGAAAATGCTATGTATTTAGCCTCCATGGTTAAGTTAGCAATACAAGTTTGTTTCACACTTCTCAATATGAAAGTTACACTTCCCAAAGTGAACATCACTCTTGAATTTGATTCCCGACAATCTCTGTCTAATTGAAAATAAAAATCTGTATCTCCGATAGGAATCAAATCCCTACTAGAGTATACCAACAATAGCTTCTCGTTCTCATCAGATATTTGAGTTTATGCTTGACTGCTACCCATCGATCCAATCCTAGGGTTTATTGGTATCTGCTAACCACTCCTACTTCAAGGCATATGTCGGGTCTTGTGTATAGCATTGTGTACATTAAACTACAAACTGCTGATGCGTAGGAAATTCGTCTCATGTTCTCCTGTTCTTGTTGTGTCTTAGGACATTGTTCTTTGGAGAGATGAACTTCATGTCGGGAAGGTAAATTTCCCTTCTTAGAGTTTTGCATTGTGAATATGACAAGCACCTTGTTAACATACGATGTGTCCTAATCTTGCGACCTTTCCTGATTTGGATCTCAAGAATATAGTTGACATCTCATTTGGAATTAGATTGGGATTTAAAGCAACTTGTGAATTTATACTATTTTACTTGATTCTATATACACACATTAGTTTTACATTGGATAAGTATATTAATATTGTGACTTTGAAGCTGTTTATGTATTTAATATAATGATTCCAATACTAAAACAAAACATTAGGTTATCTAACTAAAATTTTATTGCATGTTTATTTGTTGAGTTGTGTTCGAAGACAGAAACATTCAAGTTTTTTGGTGTTTGATAATTGTGTTTTATATACTTATCTGGGCTTAAACTATAGACATTTAGGAGTTTGTTTGATAAATTATGGCCTACTCTCTTGTATATTTCATTTGTTAGGTGAAACCCGATACTTTAAAGTAAAATTGAAAGAAAGAAACAAAAAATAGAAAAATGGATAAAATCTAAAGCTTGAGGACCAATTTGAAACTTTTCAATAGTTGATTTGGACCACAAAATGAAGATGGAAGATTTTTCAATTTCAATTGAATGAAAATGGAAGATAAATGATCGAAATTGCATGACAAAAAGTCTTAAAGGAATGAAGAATCAAAATCGAGGACCAAATTGCTTGACCATGGAAAGTTTAAGTGTTGTGAGTGCCACTGTTGAAGAAACCCAGCATAAACGCTCGATCAGCGGGGGTGCGGCCAACATGTTGGTGCACCCATGCAGGTTATTTCCAGGATTGACGTACAGTTTTCGTATTTCAAGTTAAACAGTTTGGGTATCCAATTTCAACACATTTTTTTACCTAAAAAATCTAACCCATATAAAGAGAAGACAGCCTCATACATAAAAGGAGACCTCTAATACCATAGAATCCATCAACTATTATAATAAAAGAGGGGTAAATTCATTGTCCTTGTGAGATAATTATGTTTTGAATAGTAATTTTTGAAAAAAAAAAATGATGTTTTGAATAGTAATTTTTTGAAGAATGCATATAATATTTTATTGTTTAAATATTTGGTTGAAAATGACTGAAAATTAAATTATTTTGTTTTAAAAAGAGACGACATTTGTGGAGACAAACATTGCCTAAGTTGTAAGCCCCTAATATAAATAGGATCATATATCCGATCAGGGCGGATGTAGCAATCCCCCCAAGGCCCAAGAATTTTTTTTAAGGCAATTTTTTTTTTTTGGTTGTAAAAACAGTTTTTTATGTGCAAATTTATTATTATTATTATTATTATTATTATTATTATTATTATTATTATTATTATTATTATTATTATTATTATTTCCGTATTAGCCTGGCTAGAAATTTTATAGCCTAATTTTGGATCCAATCATGGATCTGCCCCTATATTCGATTGTATTGAAAACGCATAAATTGATATAGTTTGAATATTAAGTTTATTTCATGTGAGCTTGTCGTTCTATTGAAATAATTCATACCTTTTTGGTGGGTTCCCAGAGTGGGATATTTCCTAGCCGATGAGCCAAATTATTGTCCCTCAATAATTACTTGTTTGTTTCAATTTTCTATCGGACATGATATTACAATTTATTTCTAGTTTTATTATTGATTTTTACGTAGCAGAGAAATATTTTTTTATTTTTATTTTACTTCTAAATTGAAAATTTAACAGTACACACTTTGCCACATGCAATGTTTGTCGACGTATGGACAATAAATTTCATGTTGTAATAATCTTTTATGCCACATCATCAATTTCGTGAGTCGCATTACCATTTTAGTTACATATATAATAGAAAGAGCGAGCCAAAATATATAAACCCACCTGTGTTGTTTTCTGACACTTATTTTATTTCTTTCAAACACATTTCCAAAACACAAGGAAAATAATTAAAAAAAAAAAGAAAAAAAAAGAGCAACTTGATCTCATAAATAACATTGCTTTGGCAAAGAAAGATGATACTCTGGCTATGGCCTATGAGAAGATTGACAACCGAGGATGCTCTTATTTCCTGCTCGGAGATGATCCGTCATAAACTGCAATATCAGACGATATTATATAAGAAAAATGCTGTTTGTGTGCAGAAAATTTATTCATCAACATATGATATGAATACTTCTAAAATGCTAGGGTTTCCATTTCGAACAAGATTTAAAAATTAAAACTATTTGCAAACTTTGCAAGAACGTTTCAGAAGCTTCAAAAATATTCCAAATTTTATTAGTATTTAACAGAATTTGAAAATATTTGGGAAACTATACTATATTAAATAAGGAAAAAAAGTTAAAATTTACTTATTCTAATGTTCAATTTTGTCCATACGTCCGTCTCAAAAACATGCAGTGATTAATTGAAGAAAATTTGTTTATGTACCTTAGGCAGCGCACTGGAAACCAGCTGGTGGAGTTTTGCCACAGTCAACAAGGACTTCAAGGGCAATTGGTATAAGGATGTTAATATTCAGAAGCTTAGCCTTTATTGTGGTGCAAAGGCATAATGCTGCATCCAAGTCGACAAGTCCCTCTAGTACTGGACAACAAGTGTCCTTAGCACTGCTGCCAATTCCAACGTGTATAAGACCTCCTAACAAGTCCACACATGCACCCAGTTTTAGGGTATCAATGGAGCAAGTTTGCTGTGCAGGTGATGGCGGAGGACACAGTGGTGGTGGTGGTGGAGGAGGACATGGCGTTTCAGTTGGTGGCGCAGGTGGTTTTACGGGGACGGGTGGAGGTCTCGTCACTATTGGTGGAAGTGGTGGTGTGATGGTGGGTGGTTTTGGCCCATAGGGTGGTGGCAATAGAGGAGGTGTAGGTGTGGGTGTGGGTGGGGGCTTGTATGGTGGGTATGATGGCGCCGGTGGTTTTACGGGGACAGGTGGAGGTGGAGGTTTCGTGACTACTGGTGGGAGTGGTGGTGTGATGGTGGGTGGTTTTGGCCCATAGGGTGGTGGCAATAGAGGAGGTGCGGGTGAGGGTGTGGGTGGGGGCTTGTATGGTGGGTATGATGGCGCCGGTGGCTTTACGGGGACGGGTGGAGGTTTCGTGACTATTGGTGGTTTGATGATGGGTGGTTTTGGCACAGAGGGTGGTGGCAGTAGAGGAGGTGTGGGTGTGGGTTTGTATGGTGGGTGCACAACGGGAGGCTTGGGCTTGAATGGAGGATGAACAATTGGAGGCTTGGGCTTGAATGGAGGATGTACAACTGGTGGCTTGGGATGGAATGGAGGATGCACAACTGGTGGCTTGGGGTGGAATGGAGGATGCACAAATGGAGGCTTGGGATGGAACGGAGGATGCACAAATGGAGGCTTGGGGTGGAACGGAGGATGCACAAATGGAGGCTTGGGATGGAACGGAGGATGCACAATGGGAGGCTTGGGAGTGAAAGGTGGCTTAACTATGGGAGGTTTCGGTGGTGGCTTTATAATGGGAGGTTTTGGAGTGAAAGGTGGCTTAACTACGGGAGGTTTCGGTGGCGGCTTTACAATGGGAGGCTTGGGAGTGAAAGGTGGCTTAACTATTGGAGGTTTCGGTGGTGGCTTTACAATAGGAGGTAGCACACGTGGTGGCGGTTTTACGACGGGAGGTTTGGGGGAGGGATAGTGTGGTGGCTTAACTACGGGAGGTTTCGGTGGCGGCTTAACTACGGGAGGTTTCGGTGGCGGCTTTACAATGGGAGGCTTGGGAATGAAAGGTGGCTTAACTATTGGAGGTTTCGGTGGCGGCTTTACAATAGGAGGTAGCACATGTGGTGGCGGTTTTACGACGGGAGGTTTGGGTGAGGGATAGTAGGGTGGCTTTACAATTGGGGGGTGTTTTGGTGGAAATTTGGGTGGAAGGGGGGGAGGAATTGGGTATGGGCAGTAAGGACATGCTAGAGAAATAAGCAATGTCCCCAAGTTGAGAAGTGCTACGATTGGTAGAACCAAATTGTGGTTCCCCATTATCATGAAAAATCTACTTGTTATGGAGAATGATAAGGAAAGGGTTGAGTTCTTATAGAGGAAAGAGCAAGTGAGATAACTATGGAATTTGTCCATATTTGGCATAGATTTTTTATCGTTTTTTTTTTCCCTAAACTTATTTTCAATTATATATTCTTCTAATAAAATAATTTTGTACGTAAATCTATAACTTTTCTCACTTTTTAATTATATAGGCCCTGTTTGGGAGTAATTTTTTATCCAAAAAAATTGATTTTTTGATTGTTATTTCACTATTTCAACCGTCATTTTTTACTTCTTTTCTCACAGGTGGACCTCACTTTCTCTCTAACGATCAAAAAATCAATTCTCAAAATCACTATCAAACATGCCCATAATGTCCAAAAAAAATCACTTCTCACCAAAACTATTCTAAAAATTTATGTCAAACAGGCTCATGAAAACCTTGGCTCATGACACGACACGACACGACACGACACGGTTTATACTACAAAATATTATTTAATTCAACGAAGCAAATGATCGCATCCTAGAAGAAAGAACATATTGATGATTGGATAGCACTAAATTTGAGTGTTAAAAAAAAGTGGCATCGGCTCAAACCTTCTAGGCTTCATCCTCAGTACCCCTTTCCACGGCATAGCATGGCGTGGCTTGTAATGTATATAAGGCACTTAGACATCAATTAATATAAAGTACAAAAAAGTTTGTCAAACTCTTCCTAATATAATTATGTGTGTAGTATAATGTATTGAATTAGCCTGCGTAGGATACCACAACAAACAAGATTTTAGTTTCTCTTTTTCTTCTTATTATTGTTGAATTTTATCTAATATACTTTACCAAACATATTTTGTCACGTTATTGTTATAGTACCTAGTAAAGTATATTATTATCTGCTTATTTATTGTAGTTTGACACGAACATCGAAGAGCATTGTTTCTATTCACTCAACTACCCCACCCATTAACATTGTTTTGTAAATTTATCATTGAATTTCTATAATAGAATTTGTACGTCCAACAAAATTATTGAAACTACAAACGCAAGTAAACAAGCTCACATCTATTGTGTCCCTTCAATACATTTTTGATATCTCGGTACATCATATTTTCTTATGAAATGAAAAGACGTCAATACATATCTTAACACCTTAGCACATTTCAGATTGATGTCTTCCTACTGCTAAGAAGAAAATGATGTACTTAATTGACAAAAAATGTATTGAAAAACTGTCAAAATGATAGGAAGCAACAAATCTCAACCGTATATAAACATGCTCTTCCTCAATGGATCAAGAGCAATCAAAATCGAGTTATGCCCTTGTTTGACCACATTTTAGAGGTAAAGGATGCATTTTGAATAGTAGTTTGATGTAGAATGTACGATTAAAAATTAAGAAAAAATTTTGAACTTGCGTGTAATATTATTTTATTGAAAAACGTGTTATCGAAAATGAATTTTAAAAAAATTAATTTATAATAAAATGGAACTCAAACGAAGGCATAATACTAATAATTCAGTCCTGATCATATCAAAGTATTTTTGTCTTGATTGATTGACTTTAAGGGACGCTAAGAAAATAATATTCGTGAGAATATGTGGTATTAGTACAAGTGGGGCTGCTACTTGATTTTTAGCTGACAATAGAATCGAGGAAACGCGGTGGTTTTAACGCGTAGTGCAGCAGTATTTTTCGTCCGTGACTAATCCCGTAAATTTCGTTCAACTTTTTTGTGGACCGTAATTTTGAAAATCGAAACGTCCTTGCTCCAAGACAAAACACTTGAAATGATTTTCATTTTTTGCAATCTACTCATTTATTACTAGGTTTGCACCAAGATACTTTTAGGTTGTCGGCAATATTCGAGAAATGGGATAAATATCATTTTAGGTCATCCAACTTGTTGGGAATAACAATATCGTTCTTAAGTTTCGAAATTGTACTAAGCTTACTATCTTTCAATTATCAGTCCTTTTATTCGAGTTCTTACTAATTTTTCCACTATGTTTTTGTGTTCTAGAAATAATCTCGAAATTGAATGAATTGGAGAAAAAAGGATTAAAAAGAAAATTGGGACAGTCGAGTTAAGAGTTGATTGAAAGAATAGATGAAAGAATCTAAATGTATGTTTGAGCTCCCTTTTTCGTTGAAAATGATAATTTTTGGAGAATATACGACTAAAAAGTAAAAAAATATTTTAGGTTTACATGCAAAATATTTTATTGAAAAAGTGTAATTAAAAATGAGTCTAAATAAAAATGAATTTTTAGATAGATTAAGTGTTTATTCGTGCGCATGAAAAATATGTTACACATGTACGGTGATGATAAGAGTAAAACTAATGTTTTCCATTCATAGAGGATTTAAGTATCTAATTTACAAAAAGTTAGGATCTAAAAGTACAAAAATTTGATTTTCCTATTGATATAATATTCTGCCCATGCAGTGGCTTGTGACTTAATCACGTGTCCACAGGATAAGGTACATGAGTCTTGTCATAGGGCCCTTGTAATATGCAATGCCCGTAGTACTCGAAAGGTTCTCTGAACCATTTCGTCCAACCCCGCCCCCCCATTGGAGGGGGAGAATAAGCCCCTAGGAAATCCAGGACCACATGGGTCTTGGATGAGGAGATTAATCCTTTTGTCCAAATAAGGTTGGGGGTCGTAAATTGTGTTTTATTTGTTGATCTCATTTTCGATTAAAGCCACCTCGACAACAGATGCCAGATCCACTTGCATACACGTAGGTTGAATCCAACATGCTAAGACAAACCAACGGTCTAGAATGCTTTAGAAACGAGGCATTGGAGTAGTCCTTCAACGCGAGACGATAATGTTCGGAATCCGACAATGCATTTGTGGAAAGATTGTACAATAATTAACAATCGCAATGAATCAAGGTAATGTAAACTTAGCTGTCTTGTATGACAAAATAAAGTGAAGAGTGTTGTTTCGTATTCAATATTGCATTAGTCGTACAAGTGTTACATATGGGAGTATTTATAATGATACAAGTGAAATAATGACAATTGGGGATACACGTGGTCTCATCTTCTTAGTTCATACATCTAATCCTAGACATCATTTTTGACTTGCTAGCATGCTATACATTTATTATCCATACAGAGCCGTCACTTTGTTGACAAGATTTGACACTTACACTGTATGAGAAACATTCCATCAGTCATTTCAAATAAAATATCTGTATAGAAGCGGATCTCTTGGTAGAAGTAATATTGGAAGGTGCTTCGTTGTCTTCGGCCTCGGCGTCGTGGGCTACCGCCTCGACCCACTGGGCTTCAAACTTTATGATCCTGAGCCATGATTAAGGAGTTAACTTCGGCCACATTACATTTCGCTTTGGCTTCACGGCCACGACCACTACATATGTGCTTTGGCTTGAGTGGGCCTAGAGCTACAGTGGATCAGCCACGTGGAACCACGTGTGACGAGGCATAACAATTGTCCCCTAAGTCCATGTATAGTCATTTATGTCATGCGCGTGAACTTCAATATTTGAGTAGAATTTTCTTAGAGTTTCTTTTTAGACAAAATTTAAAAACTTTTGGACCCTAATAATAGTCCACAGGTCCAAGTATGGATATTCACATTATGGTTGGAGTAAAAAGTTGATTATGCTGCGTCGCACAATAATACTTGGAGTTCATTCGTTTGTACCGGGCAAAGAGAGGGTCTAATTGTCGAGGTTCGTAAGATTGATTGTTGTTGAATTTGATTGTGAGCTGAGGCGGGGGAAATGCTGAACTGTCAAGGCTCTTTTCTTTGATAGCTGAAGTTAATTCCAAGCCGAGGTAGGACATTGCCGAAATGTCGAGGCTCATTGTCTTTTATAATAGCTGAATTTAATTTCAAGTTAAGGTAGGAGACTGCTAAACAGACGAGGCTTCTTTTATCTGAAGATAAATGTTTGTAAGCCGAGGCAGAAAATGTTGAATATGCTGCGACGGTTGTCTTTTGTAGTAGCTGGATCTTCTTTGAAGCTGAGGTAAGGAAATCTTGAACTGTCGAGGCTCGTTTGTTTGATGATTGTTTTCGATAATTGTGCTAATGATTTGATGTTTTTGCAGATTACTAAGGAAAAGCGATCGAATCGCTACAACTTCCAATGCACGTACGACCGTTGCATTAAATGTGCAATGATCTTTATGGTTGTGGATTCTGAAGGGGACGCACCAAGGATGGTGTGTGGGAAGCATGCATTGATCTAAGGCATCAGTACGGAAAACTATTTGAATTCTACGCATCAAATGTAGAGAGAGATTAATGGCTCGGATTACATGGACTTCAATCTAACGGCTAGGATTTGTTTCCCCTTTATATAAAAGCAGAATCACACCATTGTTAAACCTTTACTTTCGCTAAATTCCCTTTAAGTTCTTGAAGCAATTCCAGTTTCTTAGCAATCTTTCCATTCTCCGACAATACTCCATTCTTAGAGCCCTTTTTTCGTTTAGTTATTTCTCATAAAATTCTTGTTTTTGTAATCTCCATCAAATTTTTCCCTTCTGATATGGATTTTGAGGTAGGTAGGAAATTGGTCACTGTTGAGGAATAATAACTAAGACTTCGGAGACAGAATCATGGGCTGTGAGTGAGGAACCCATAGATTACGAGGGCAGATTGGGGGCAACTAGAATACCTTCAACCATGACCCCCAAAAAGATTAGCCAAACTTAGGGATATATATTGTATACCTCACCATATAGAGTTGTTAGTACCCGAGGCCCATAAACGTGTCAGTGAATGCTTATTTAAAGCAGGTATTCGTCTTCCTCTATGTCCCTTTTTTAGGGCGGTGCTTAGGAACTTCACGTTAGCTCCGATCCAAGTTCTTCCCAATGGGTGGAGCCAGTTAGTTGGAGCCAACATCCTTTGGAAGGAGTTGTCTCTAGGTGAGGACATGTCTTTGCATGTCTTCCGAACCTTCTTTCATCCTCGGGTCCTAGGTAAGGATGAGTCAAATGGATGGTACTATTTGATCCCTTGGGGGGTTCACACTCCTTTT